TTTATTTTTATTTTTTGGCAGCTGGCCAGTGAGGGGATCTTAATCCTTGACCTTTGTGTTTATTAGCACCATGTTCTAACCAATGACCTAACCAGCCTGCCAACTTCAGATTTTTAAACTGTCCTCCACCCCACACTCTCCTCTTCTGCCTTTATTTTTCTCCTCCGTCCTCGTCACTCTCCAAGATAGGATTTCAGTTATTGTCTAGTTCCTGTGCTGGGCTGTCAGTTCCACAAGGGCAGAGATTTCTGTCCATTTTGTTAACAGCTGCGTACCCAGTGCCCCGCAGAGTGTGGCTCAGGTTGGTGTCCATTACATGTTTGTTGAATGAATGAGAGAACAATTCTGCAGGTAATATGATGTCGTGGGATGATGGAGCACTAACTTTCTCAGACTGCAGGTGACCAAGCACGCCCTTCCCAACCCTTCATGCCCCCGGGTACACTCCTACCCCTCTCTGGGCCTCGAGGGGGCTGGACTGGCACATCTCAGAGCTCATTTCCTTTCTGAGGGGCTTATGTGTGGGTCCTCTCTGACTTTCTGTCTCTTCCTCCCCAGGACACGGCAGGGCAAGAGCGGTACCGGACCATCACCACAGCCTACTACCGGGGTGCCATGGGCTTCATCCTCATGTATGACATTACCAATGAAGAGTCCTTCAATGCTGTGCAGGACTGGTGAGCATGCCCCACCCCCTCTCAGACCGTCGTCTGAGCTAGACTTGGTGCAAAAAACAAAAGGCGGAGTGGGGGGGAGGATTTCAGATGGAAAAATGAAACTAAACACAGGGAAAAAAAATCTGGGAGGAATGGGGACAGAAATTGCAAGGACAGTTTACGTAGGTTAGAGGCTGTAACATTTAGATTTTCTGCCCAGACATAACACATTTTAAGAAATTTTCTGAATTTGCTAAAGAGGGGATAATTATTCTTTGGGGGCAGGGATCTGTGAAGGGTGGGAAAGGCTGCTTGAAAGAGGGGCTTTGAAGAGTGGAGAACTTCTGGAGCAGACCCCCAGAGGGAGGAAAGAGCATATGAGCTGTTCTTGAAAAGTGCAGGAGGCGGGGGTTTCCAGGAGGGATTCCTGGAGGCAGGAGCAGCGTTGATGCAGAGAGGAAAGTGTGTTCACAGAAGGACAAAGGCCGTGAGGAGGGACTGAGCCTGCCAGGTTCAAGGAATAATGGGTGGAGTATGGTGCGCGAAGGAGAGATGCGGGGAAGGTTGGGTGGGGAGGGTTGTGGGTCATGCTAAGGGTCTTTCTCCCTGGGGCTAGGACACAGGCCCTGGGCCAGTCCCCGGGTGGAGCTTGGAACTTCCAAGCCCTAAACCTTCTCGACTGCTGCCTCCTGCAGGTCAACCCAGATCAAGACCTACTCTTGGGACAACGCCCAGGTGCTGCTGGTGGGGAATAAGTGTGACATGGAGGACGAGCGGGTGGTGTCGTCGGAACGTGGCCGGCAGCTGGCTGACCACCTCGGTGAGTGCCCAGGAGGGCTGCAGACCCACAAGGCTAGAAGAAGGATACTGAAAGGGGAGGGGACACACCTGAGGTCTCACAGCAAAGCCATGGCAGGGCTCGGATTCCAATGAAGGCAACTTGCCCTTTCTGCAAAAGTTGCCATTTGAGATGGGTCTTGATGGACATATAGGAGTTCACTGTGTAGAGAGTTGTTCATTCCAGCACCCTCACTGTCCATTGTTGGGTGTTACTGGGCCACCGAGAGGCTTCTAGCTTTGTGGAGTTGAGGGAGGGACTCGGATTGGAGGAGTCTGTGGAGGGGCCCAGGCTTCCCCTGGTGTGGATAAGGCTTCCTGGAAGTGGGCCGAGGGTCGTGACTCTGGTGCTTGAAGGAAAGGTCTTTCAGGCAGGGCAACAGTTTGGGCAAAGGCCAGAGGTGAGGAAGATCCTGTGTATTTTGGCAATGGTTTTACATGGCTGGAACATGAGGATCCCTGGAGGAGATCTGACCGATCATGCAGGGCATCAACCATGTGATGAGAAGCCAGGACTCTTCTGAGGGCAGTAGGGAGCCATGGAGGGTATGTGAGCTGGGGAGGGCACAGTTGGATCTGAGTATCAGAGGCCTCCAGGGCCAGTGCACAGGGCTGGGCTGGACAGTGGGGGGGGTGGGGGTAGGGTGGGGTGTTTTGCCATAGCCCTGGAGAGTGAAATTTTAGGGTTAAGAAAGGAAGGTGGGAAGTACAGGGGTGATAGTCCCAGGTCGCTTATCCACGGGACTCGTAGTGACTTTAATGAGCTGGCTAGCACTGGGAATTCCCTTCCCTCAGAGAAGCTGTCTGGGAGTGGGGTGGCCAGGGTCCTCACTCCTCCCTTCCCTGCCCACAGGGTTCGAGTTCTTTGAGGCAAGTGCCAAGGACAACATTAATGTCAAGCAGACCTTTGAGCGCCTGGTGGATGTCATCTGCGAGAAGATGTCTGAGTCGTTGGACACGGCCGACCCTGCAGTAACGGGCGCCAAGCAGGGCCCGCAGCTCACTGACCAGCAGGCGCCCCCACACCAGGACTGCGCCTGCTGAGAGATGCCCCACCCCTGCCCCAGCCCACCCCTCCCCGGGCCTGACCTGGCCCCCACTGACCACGGGCTCAAGACCCCCGCCCCTGACTTAGCCCATCACCCTTATTTATTATTGTAGCTATTTATTTATTTATTGATGATGTCCTCCAGGGGCCTGGGCTTCCCCACCCACCCCACGTCCCGCTGGTCCTGTACATACAGTCCTGTCCCCACTCTGCCGTGGCGTGTTGTGGCCCCGTGAACACACCATTCACCTTCCTCTTGAGAACCCACCTTTTTTTAAAATTCACCCCCATCAACAGTTGTCGGTTGTGAAGAGGGGGCCAGATGACACCCCAGAGCAGGCTGATTGGGTGATGGAAGGTGGCTGGGCCTGCTGTGGTGGGCCGAGGCCACTGTTGGGGGGGGTCTCTATGTGGACCATGGGGGTCAGAGTCCGGCAACCTGCCTGCTGGGCTCTCCCCCAAAAGTCTTATTTTTGGGGTAGGGGAGTGCTGTGAGTATTCACCACCCTGGGACCCCCCCCCCACCAGACCTGTTTTGACGTCACAAGTGTCAAACATGCCCTCCAGTCCCCTAGGAAATGTCATAACAACATTACACACAACCCAATAAAGCGAATGGACCATGCTGCGTCCATATGAACCCTGCCTGCCCGTGCTGGCTTTAGTCATCCACAAGATTTTTCAATTACAGTGAGAGTTTAATGGAATTTCCACAGTCCAGTGAAGGAGACCTGGCCTGGCCCTGCCTGAAGCTTCTGGGGGCTGACTCCAGGTCAGCCCCTGCTCAGAGGGGATGGGCCATGTCCTTGACTTGGTTCCAGGATCTGAGGGAGCCCCAGTCTGGCTGCTGGGTCCCAGCCAGGCCCACGGCAGTGTTGAAGGATTGGTGCTTGGCTTGGGGCACCATGCTGCAGGTGGGGCATCTTGGTCACAGGTCAGATGAAGCTCTTGCTGAGAAGGCGAGCAGGGCTGGAGGGTGACTGTCCATCTTTGTGGTTGTGTTTCAGATGGGGAAACTGAGGCCCTGCAATGGGCTTGGAAAGGGCAGTTCAGCCAGAGGCCCAAGACCCTGGCTTGCTGCAGGAGCCTATTCCCGTTTTGATTGTGAGGCTGGGCAGCTGGTGGTCTGCCTTGCCCTGTCTGGCATCCGGTCTGGGAAGATGTGGGCAGCTCAGTCTGCTCGGGTGCCCAGGGCCACGCAGCCTGGGGGTGGCAGGGGGCCTGGGATCTGTCCACACAAGAGGATCTGGTCACATGCTGGGTTCATCTCTACGTTTCTCCCAGCCGAGTCCTTGTGCACCTGCCCTTGGCCTGGAGTGAGCCCCACTCCACATATGGCAGGAACCCGGCCAAGGTCTCATGAGATGGCAGAAAAGGGCTGGGTCTTCCCTGCTGGTGATGAGCTCGCCGCCCACCCACCCTGGGCTATGGCTGGTCAGGGGCATAGAAGACACCCACCCTCGAAGGTGGCTGCACTGCCATTGGGATCTCACATGTGGCCACCAGGGAGGACCCTGGGTGCCTGATCTGCCCACTGTTCTCACCCGGTACTTCAGGTAGGACAGGTATGTGTCCCAGCCAAGCGTCAGGCCGTTGATGTAGGTGACCCGGAACTGGGGGGGCACAAAGAGGAAGTTCACCAGCTGCGCAGCTGGCCACACGCACCAGTCGGCCTGCGGGATGAGCAGAGCGTGATGAGGGGTGGGGCTTGAGAGGGTGAGGCCAAGCAGGTGTCTGGGGGGGGGGCTTTGGAGGTGGGCGGGGTCTTGGCAGGCACTCCCACCTTGTAGAATTCCCAGAACTTGTCCTGCAGCTCTTGGCAGCTCTCACTGAGTGTCTGGCCCTCCAGGCAGCCAAGGCCTGGGAAGGAATCAAGAAATGCACGTGTCAGAAGCTGGGGAGTATGGCGGAGGTGAGATGGGCTGATGATGGAGGGGGTGAAGCAGGACACTTGAGGGACAGAGTGTCTTAGGGAGGGGGACCACGATGTACATAAACATGTGTCCTGAAGAAGGAGAAATACTTTTTTATTACTTCTCCCTTAGAGGAGGAAACAGCCTGGAGGTGAGGAATGAGTGGCTCTGCCAGGAGTCTTGCAGAGATTGCGCCCCAGCAACCCCCAGCCAAAGTGCCTCTTCCTTCTGGCCTCAGGGCCTTTGCATGGGCTGCCGGCTCCTTCTTCAGTCTCTGCTGAGACTTTTCTCCTTTGGGAAGGGATCCCAACCTCCCGCCCAGCGCATTCCCATCAGACACTGTCCTCTTCCCTCCCACACTCACCACCATTCAAACCAGCCCCCAGTGGCCCCCTGAGGGTCAGCTTGTGTCTGTTCGGTCACCACTGTGACCTGATGCCCAGTCCAGGGCCACCGACACAGGAGGCACATCAGAAACCCACCTCGGCATCCTTCTAAACAAAACCGGCTTTGCCCCTCCCGACCTTTGAGGGCCGAAGCCCAAGCTCATGGGGCTCCTTACCCAAGAAGTACCAGACACCCAGCATGGGAGAAGCCACCAGCTGGTCCACGAGGACCTTCTTGAGGATGTTTGGGAGGCCTTGGAGGCCCGACGCAGGGAGTACGCGGTCCAGCCAGAAGTACCAGTAGTGAAGGAAGGGGCCCATGCTGCAGCCCACCGCAAACATGCTTGCTGAGGGTAGTATAAGAGTCAGGGGTCGGGTCAGGCCGGCAATCCCCCCAATCCACTCCTTCTCTGGCTAAAACCCGGGTTAGCCCTCCCAGAACCTCAGCTTCAGCTGGAAAACGGGGACAGTCCACCTGTGTATTCTTCCATTACAAGCCCCACGGACAGGCACCCACCGTTCCAGGGGTTCCTCGGCAGAGGGCGGAGACCCCAGGGGTGGGAGGGGGTGGAGACCCGAGGTTGTGGGGACAGAGACCCACCCCTGGGTTGGGAGGTGAAGGACTCCGGGGGAAGGTAGAGGACAAGAGACCCGGGAAGTGCTGTCAGAGTCTAGGGTGCACGCTGAGATCAAGGGTCCTATCAGGAACTGAAGCCACGGACCAGGGATCACGGCCCGCGGGTCTGGTCAAGGGTCTGCGAACCTGAGGTCGGGGTCAAAGGCCCCCAGGGTGAAGGGCCGACAGCGCGGGCGTTCTCACCTGAGCGCCTCGGGTTGAACTTCTGGCCGGGCTGCGCGCGGACCTCCCAGGACTGGCGCATGGCGTCCCCAGCGAACATGAGCGCGCCGCAGCCCAGCGTGTTGGTGACGAGAAGCGCACGGCCCTGGAACAAGGGTTGCCCCGCCGTCCACAGGCCGCGCAGCCAGCGCCAGCCGCCCGGCGCCATCTCCAGCCGGGACCCAGGAACCGGTGCTCGAGTCGGCACGACGCCGCGCCTGCCGATCGTGAGTTCACCGCCACGCCCAGCATGCCCGTCCCGCGCCGCCCTGGCCAATCGAACGCCGTCTTCGCGTCCGCAGGCCCACCCCACGCCGCAACGGCCAATCGCTGATCGCCTCAGCGTTCCACTTTGCCCGCCCCGAGAAGTATTGACCAATAAGAGGCAGGCGTCTTCCAGGCTCGATCTGTGAATGAAGTTGTAACCGCCTTCCCGCGCCTCGCGGACCAATCGAAAATAAGAATCGCGTTACGTCATGTACACCAATTGGTGACGTTACACCCTTGTTTCCCCGCCCCTTCCTGTGCTGGCCTATGGGTAAGTCGCCTACCTACGAGCCCAGTAATGCACTGGCCAATCTCAAACCAGCTTCACGCGGGCAAATCACTGACTGTTTTCCCGCCTCTCGCGTCAGATGGGCAATCGTAGACGGTTACCGTACTGTCTAGTTTCCAGATTTCCCGATTTTCCGGGAATGTCTGAGTAAGGGATAGATCTGTCCCATGACAGCTACGGAGGAGGAAGTGCAATCCCGCAAAGACTCATGGGAGTGGAGGAGGTGGGACGCCTAAGGTGCTGCGCTCGCAACTCAATTGGAGCCTGGTGCAGAGGCTGACCTTGGTCATGACCTTAGCTGGACCTTGACCTCGGTTCCCGAATAATAATCATTAATATTTAGGCACTGCTCTGGGCGTGTTGCTTGCATTAACCCATTTCACAGCAACTTTGTGCTGCTGCAGAAACAATTATATCCTCATTTTACCTCCTGTGTTCCTGTAGGGAAAAATGATTTTCAATGCAAACCTATACATTTTCTTTTTCTTTTTTTTTTTCCTTTTTGTCTTTTTTCGTGACTGGTAACGGAATCGCAACCCTCGGTGTCACACCCGCACCGCACTCAACCAGTGAGCGGACCGGTCTCTATATGGGATCCGAACCCTCGGCGGGAGCTCCGCCGCGCTCCCAAGCGCCACACTCTACCGAGTGCGCCACCGGGCTGGCCCTACATTTTCTTTCTTTCTTTCTTTTTTTTTTCAAAAGATGACCGGTAAGGGGATCTTAACCCTTGACTTGGTGTTGTCAGCACCACGCTCAGGCAGTGAGCAAACCGGCTATCCCTATATGGGATCCGAACCCGTGGCCTTGGTGTTATCAGCACTGCACTCTACCGAGACAGCCAAGGGCCGGCCTGCTATGGACATCGTGAAGTGAACATTTTTCTACTAGAGCAAACTACCGCCCGTGGGCCAAATCCTGTCGCTGCCTGTTTTTGTGCGACTCACGAGCTAAGAATGTTTCCTACATTTTTTAAATGGTCAGGGAAAAAAATCAAAGTAATATTCTGTGACTTGTGAAAATGATATGAAATTCAAATTTTCATGTCCATAAATGAAGCTTTATTGGAACACAGCAGTGCCCCCATTCGTTGGCCCATACAAACGAGACTATTTACNCAGCGCGGGCGTTCTCACCTGAGCGCCTCGGGTTGAACTTCTGGCCGGGCTGCGCGCGGACCTCCCAGGACTGGCGCATGGCGTCCCCAGCGAACATGAGCGCGCCGCAGCCCAGCGTGTTGGTGACGAGAAGCGCACGGCCCTGGAACAAGGGTTGCCCCGCCGTCCACAGGCCGCGCAGCCAGCGCCAGCCGCCCGGCGCCATCTCCAGCCGGGACCCAGGAACCGGTGCTCGAGTCGGCACAACGCCGCGCCTGCCAATCCTGAGTTCACCGCCGCGCCCAGCATGCCCGTCCCGCGCCGCCCTGGCCAATCGAACGCCGTCTTCGCGTCCGCAGGCCCACCCCACGCCTCAACGGCCAATCGCTGATCGCCTCAGCGTTCCACTTTGCCCGCCCCGAGAAGTATTGGCCAATAAGAGGCAGGCGTCTTCTTCCAGGCTCGATCTGTGAATGAAGTTGTAACCGCCTTCCCGCGCCTCGCGGACCAATCGAAAATAAGAATCGCGTTACGTCATGTACACCAACTGGTGACGTTGCACCCTTGTTTCCCCGCCCCTTCCTGCGCTGGCCTATGGGTACGTCGCCTACCTACGAGCCCAGTAATGCACTGGCCAATCTCAAACCAGCTTCACGCGGGCAA